TCCCCCCCCCCCCCCCCCCCCCCTCCCGTCCTCCTCCCTCCTCGTCCTTCTCCGTTGCCTCTCTCCTCCCGTTCCTCACATTTTGTAATTAGCGGCTATGTTTGCAATTATATTTTCCGGGGGGAGGGGGGGGGGAAGGGAGGATGTGTTGCAAAGCATTTCAGACTGCAGGGTAAAAAAAGTTTCTGAAGTGCTGCATTTCAGGTTAAGGAAGGATGTCGAGTCCAGTGCAATGGCTTCCGCTGGAGTCAAACCCGGAGGCGATCACAGAAGTGAGTCATTTCTTTTTCTAGAAATTTTTTGTTTGAAAATTTCGAGGAAGGCGGGAGTTATCGAAATTTAGATGCAGACTTTCATATCTGTTGGGAGGGGAATGGATGGGGTAGAAATGAGCTTGGTTTGTGTGGACAGACAGTGTTTCAGGCGGCGACATTGTGGTACAGTGGGAGGGAAGTATTTGGCGAAATGGAGTCTATTTTCATGTAAGAAAGCACCAAGTAGACGGCGAAGACGATCAGGAAGGAAAGCCTTTAGCAGAGTAATCAAGAAGCATACGGTGAGCCGGAGATATGAATCCTTGAGGGGAGGACTCAGTGCGCAAGAATCTTATAAGCTGACTGTAAATCGTATCATCATGGATCGATGGGTGCACATTGCTGTGAAGAGAAGAATACTTATTGATGGGGTAAGTGAAGTGGTCACCTTTGCAATAAAGTATGAAACCTGTGCGGGCTTTGTCCAAAAAAATAGTTATATCTAAGTAGTCAGCGGAAGTACTGGGGCCAGTGATTTCAATGTCCAGATGCTGTTAATTCTAGCGCATCGGTAGTACTTACGAGTCAGTAGGTTTTTGGAGTAGTTCTGCTTGACGTGTAATTGTCGTTGGTGCTATTCCATGCAAATGTTTGGGCTTGAGCTAGCTTCTGCTCCTTGCGCGTTTTGAAAGTGACACTCATGACACTCATACTTCAGTTCATGCACAAGGTTGGTGTGGAGGAAGGAGTCAGGTGTGTGGATGTGTATGGTTTCGAGAATGATTTGTTGGAATTCATTCCACGGCCATGCTATGCCGTACTGTTGTGCTTCCCAGATATTGACAAGGTTTGCTTTAAAGGCTAGAAAATATTTGAAATAAAGATACGCAAGACTATGTCACTTAAAAAGTTTCAAGCTTGAGCAACGGCGAACTGCGATTCTGCCGATTAATCTTTTCAAAGCTGATGCTTGTGAGCGCGCCTTTCTTGGCATTAAATTTTAAGCCATTTGCAGCAGTCGTCCACTTTTTTTGCTTCAGAAACCGGAACTTCCGCCCACCCTTCCTCTGCTCTCGTTCAGATTGGCGGCTGTTCGAATAGATTTGCTAGACAAGTACTTGTCTTATGTTGATCTGTCGATATTGCGATTTTTTTTGAAAAGTGGGTGTGCGGAGCAGGTTTTGAAACTCCATGTACATCAGTTTGATACCTTTTTAGGTTAATGAAATCATGAAGCCTGTTTATGCGAAAATGAAGGAGAGCGGTAGTGCTGTCCCGAATGATGTCTTTTTTATGAAACAGAAAATCTCAAATGCGTGTGGAACATTTGCTCTTATTCATTCGCTTGCCAATAATCGCGACAAAATCTGTCTCGGTCAGTTGTGAATTCAGTGTCGTGTCGGACACGGCGAGTCAAAAATCAGTTGCTTTTTTCCTAGA